AGTAGTAAGTAGTAGTTAGTAGTAGTTAGTAGTTAGTAGTTAGTAGTAGTTGGTGGTAGCAGTAGCAGTCGTAGTCGTAGTGGTAGTGGTAGTGGTAGTCGTAGTAGTAGGAGAGATAACTAAGGATTTGAAAGGGCAGCTATAGCAGAACAATTCATACTATTCAATTACCCTGGGCTTGTGTACTAGCCCCTTGAACAATTTATTTGGAGCAATGAAAGCGTTTAGTTTTAATAAGCGTGTTTGAAAACGACTTTCAGGTCAGAATTCTATGAATCAAGCAAACCTCAGGAGAGTTAAATATGGATGTTGAAGGGTGAGCAATAGCAGAACAATAGAAAACAAACAAATCTCAAAAAGATATCACTGGGCGAAAAAACGTTTTGTTATTCCGACCCATTAAGCTAATCAGGGTGTGTGAATAATTGGGCGAAAACTGTTTATTCTTCCGTCCCATTATACTAATTTGGATTTAACATTATTGAGATATATAATATACTGTAATACTTTAAATTATTCGTATAGATTCTACTTTGACTATACGCTACTATATATTTATATTCTCTTTAGAATAAAATATGTCCCAACTAATTGTTGAATCCCAAAAAAAGTTAGCAGCCCGGCGTGGAAAAGGAATTCAACTTCCTAAGCTTCCACAGATGATGAATTTCAGTGCAAATGTCATACTTCAAGCAGAGATGGCCCGCTGCCCTTCCTCGCGGCCACGGGCTGAGGCCGAACGAGCCGACTACTGCAAAGACGTGGTGAGTCCTCCACCGAAGCTTGATGAGACGTAAGGGCTCCCAGCACTGGAGCATGGTTTGGGCTCTGGCTGCAGGACTACAACTTGTTTTTTACGTATGCTTTTGCGGTTGATCGGAGATGGTATACAATGGTAGAGTACAGGCACCGTGAGTGCGCAACTGCGCGTGGAAATCCTGGGCATGAATTTCGAATCATCAGTAAATCAAATTTCTAGTTTTGTTCCACAGCTATGCCAGCAAGGGGAACGTACTTTTGGGCTTTGGAATTTGTCGCTAGGGCTTTGGAAGCAAGAAACCACCACACGGTCCAACTGAGTCCAACTGGAGCCATTTTGTGCTGCTGGAATGCATTTAGGGAATGGAATGCATGATAATGCACCTACAGAATCCTACAGATCTACAGTAAGTTGAAACATTGAAACCTACACTACTCGTTTCTGAGGCTGGTAGCTGCACAACTGACAGACGCACGCACGGTGAGGGCAGGATTTTCCATGAGTAGGCAATCTATTGATATCTATTGTACGTTTTGAAAGCGCTGCACATGTGCCTTCCTGCAGTTGTGCAGAGGCACCCATATCCGAGACGTGGAGGTCACTGTCGTAATGGGACGCGGTGTCCCCCCTTCGGTTTTCGGGAGGCTGGACTATACACCACAAGCCTTTGACACCCAGGCCGGACATGCTCTAGAGTCTAGAGTCTACCCCAAATCCTCGATGTGAATATGCTACAATGCTACAACTGGCCTGATCTAGCCAGCTGCTGGGTTTGGCTTTTTGGGGAAGAATGCCTATGAAGGCACGTTCGGTGTGGCAGTTTGGGCACATTTGGGCATGCTCGTCAGGAAGGAGCTGAGTCCAGGGTCTTGCTCCAGGCGTGGAGACGACCGATGTGACGACCGATGTCCAACGGAGAACCGTTGCCATGTTGCACGTTTGTTGCCGTTTGTTGTTTTTGTTTTGAGGTACTGGTATGGATATATTATGATGTACTGGTCAAAAGGCATCCAAGACATTCCAATCAAAACAGATGCTCCAATCACTCGCAAACTCTGTGGCTGCAGGCATATCGCGGCGAGAACTTCTTGTTGCCCTTAATCCGTGCTTGCCCATTTGTTTGGGCCCCAGACTGAAACAGTCCAGGCTAGCTGTGCACAAAACATGGGGAGTTCCAGGGCCTTGCGCGATCTGCATGAACATGGTTCATGCCAGGCCTTGGGATCTAAAACTAGATCAATTCTGACTCAACCTGCAATTTTTACGCCAGGCAGCAGCAGTATGTGTTGTCCACCGCAGTGCGAAACAATGTGGACATTCTTGGAGCAAGCTGCTCCTGTAGTAAATTATGCCATGTCTATGTCCGGATCACTTTGATTTAGGAAATGCACGTGGGAACTGGCACATTCCCCAAGTCATTTGCTTTGACCTGTTTCTTGGCCGGAGTGCATAAATGACATGTCATGAGGCAAAAGTATACAGCCACAAACGAGATCATGCAAAGCATCACCAGGCTGCTGATGCAAGCCAATGCAATCCTGTTGCACCCATAGTGGGCAAAGCGCTTCCATCATGACCTAGGACCCAGGACTCAGGTTACCCATCCCCCATCTCACTCGGCCTCAACTCCTATGCAACCTCTGTGTTTTGAGTCTATTTAGTATAGTAGTAGTATAGCATAGTATAGTATAGTATAGTCACAGTATAGTCAGAGTCTTTTTCTTCACGCCAAACCTCGGAGGGCCCATTCCAATCTACCAGATCACAGTGGCTGCCAGGTCGACAAGACCGTGTCCAGTCGAGAGCTTGGATCACGGGTTCTGCGAATTTATGTCACTAACCCATTCAAAGCATTTGTCATGTCCTAGGCCGCCATATCTACGAGGGAATCGAAATGACCCAAGGTAAAGCATGGTGAGAAATTTGCGGGGTCCATTTGCATCCATTGGCCGCCATTGCCTTTTTAGTGCTTCAAATCTAGATGACAGATGAAACATGACCGTGCCTGTCATAGATCCCTGAGTTTGAAACAACATTGTTGGAGGGATTGAGCAGATGTTTACCTTTCTTGTCGTGTCCTAGAACCTTAGCCGACGCTTGGCTTGCTGTTCTATACTTTCTCAAAAGGCTGCAATGGGTCGGTGGGTGTCCCCAACTTGGTGAACCGCAACGCACTCTACTTCTGCCCGTTGTTCATGGTTGACTCTTCCAAATGTGTGTGCGTGTGGGCAAGGCGAATGCGAAGCCCAAATTCAGGACAGCGCCCCTTATGGACCCGAGGGCTGGATGGGATCCAAATAAATGTCGATCTTCACAGGTCGTCGGGCCAAAACCAATATGCGGACATTGCGTTTCAGTCCAAACAGGGAATCGGGTACCCTTCATGGGTTCGCCAGTCCATGTCGCATTCATGTGCACTGTAGTATGCATCTTGCTGTGCAAAGTGAAGGGGGACCAGCAAGAGGGGTCGGCAGGGAACCTTTGGCAAAAGTATGCAACAGTTAGTAATTACCTACAGTAGTGGCTTTGTTTTAGATCCTGAGAGTTGGTTGGGCGAGGAGTACCTTTTCGGTTTGCTGCTGTTCGGCCCGTGACCAAGTTCTGGAAGCCTGATGTCAAGCATTCAAAAGCGAATTCACAGAACCAGGGCACAGGGGATCTAGAAACATGTCCGATTGGAGCTCTCCTTTAATCGGGTGTGGGTAACGCTGGTGTGACTCCCTTCATCGTGCTGCGTAGCTGGACAGTTGAACTAGAACTAGTTGTAGATTGATCGAGATTGTAAGAATGCTTGCAGACGCGGACTTTGCGTTAATGGGTTGATGTGGAATTTGGCTGTCACTAAGGCAGTCCCGTGCTTGCAGGGCTCTTTTTCCTGTGCGTTTGGCAGGCATCAGATGCTGGCCCGGCAATCAGTTCGATCTTCAGCGCGGCAATGGTTTTGATCCTCGAAACAGTTTTTCCCACACAGTCGACGATGCAAAAGAATCAAAGATAGTTTTTCTCGATCCTGGGTTCTTGACAACTATACCGTACCCTTGTGTACCCTCGGTTCAGCTAAGGCTACGTCAAGCGTACATATTGACAAAGCCTGTGAAATGCACTAGTTGGATGAAGGGGCCAAGCGGTTTCCACAAACTCACACCTTCACCTCGGTGGACCTTGGCCAGATTTGCTGCTGCACTGCCGCATGCCGATGTTGCCGTAGATGCTTCTCGGATGCACCTGCTGGGATGGCTTCACCGCAGGGTAAGCCTTTGAACGTGCGGGCAAGCTTTTGCAGGCGTGGCGTATCCATACGAATATCTCAATCTCTAATTAACATATCCCTAATTGAAATTTGCGCTAGTAAGTACATGTAAGTACATGTGTATAAACTGTGTCAAGCCTATCGGATATCGAACTATCACAATGGCATTTAGATTTTAGCCGTCAAGTTTGTGTGTTGAAGTATGATTCAGAATTCAGAATCAGTGGGTCGTACCGACCAGAATTTCATAGACCATATGATATGGACCCCAAATTGGCGTCTCACACGTCTCTGACCATGTCGTGATCATCGTCCTTTTCATTGTCGTCATTTGGTTGCAAGGTTGCCTTTGCGCTGAGCGCAAGTCACCTCAACCTGCTGCTCTTTGGCAGCCGCCGGCTTAAAGCAAAACGGTCCTCACACCATGTGCCAGCCCGCTTCAACCTGCAAGTAGGGGAAGATAGATGCGGCCTGGACCCGCCCGTGAATTTGAAGACACAAGAATCACAAGAGCTTCATACACGGCAAGAATTGAGTGGAAGGCATGCAGCACTTGGAAGATAAAAGTTCATGACAAAGACGACAATCAAGTGACTTCACAATTAAATTAGATCAAATAGAAAGCTCAATCTTTCAGGAAACTCTATACCACTGTGAGACATGGGGGGTGTTGACTGTTTCAGCACCAGCTCGGCACTGCAGGAAGGTCGTTTTGGCTTGCCTAGCCCTGTGCCCCAGAAAACCCTCTTTCGCTCAATGGGGGGGACGTCAAGCATGGACACGAAGCACGCACATTGCACATCAAAGGACGAAAGGTTATCCAAAAAACTTTTGACGTGTGCACTTTGGACATTCAAGGGGTTAATGAGCACGAGTGTGTTCATCCAGATATGTGCAGAGTGTAGAGTGACCCCCAACATAGATCTTAAGAAGTGGTCCCTGTATGTCTATGCGGGGCTCGCCAGCACCTTGCCGACCTTGCCGGGGTGCGCTGCCTCCAAGGTGCCCATCATCCTGGTGGCCGCCTGGCATAAAGAGCCGAGGGCCAGGGGACAATGGAATGGATATGAAGAAGAATGAAGAGAAAAGCGGCAGCGGCATTGTTACACATGACGTGGCTCAGCATTGCCAGGTTTATTGGCATTAAGTTCCTACTAGCGTCCAGTGATAGGTTGGTATGGCTTGAAGCCACCCAACAACAGGTAGCCCAAGAAACTTGCTCCATGTGCAGGTAGACTTTGTCATTTTTGGCACAACACTCAGCCATTCTCATGTTGCTCACATTTTTCACACACTGCTAGAGTTCAAAACAAGCGTAGACCGGAGAGACCTACCAGTCTTTCAACCATCCTTCACATCCTCGGTACAGACGTCTGCAACGAGGTCTCTTTGGCTGGCACCTTCGTGGCTTACACGGCGCCATGGACCGAGAATCCCGAGCATCGGATCCGAAGTCGAATCTGAGCGAAGCGGTTCCGCTTCGTGCTTCGGAGCACGTGTGTTTGGAGCACGTGTTTTATACTGGCCGGATGGTGCTTTGGTGGGAAACCTTAATCTCTACTGGCTACGTTTATGCATGAATTTTATCGTAGGTCAAGCGCCAAGGAAAGCTGAACAGGTCCAAGACTAGAAGGCTTATGAAGGTTCTGATGTTTTCAGGTTTGATTATAATTCTTTCGGTGACCAGATTCAGCTATGTGACATGTGACTATGCATTCCTGCCTATGCCTATATTCATCTATATTCATATTATAGACATGGATGTATAATGCAGCATCAGTGTCGATGTCTAGTGTATAAGCCACTAGGGTTGTTTCAGAACATGGATGTTTACAATCGAACTATGATAAGATGATGGGCCCTCCCTTAAATATTTATTCCAGGGGGGCATGTCACATAGTGGAATATTTTTTGTGGAATAATTAGACGGTAGAATATTTATTTAAATAATCCTAAAGGGGGTCTCTTGATGCTGAGACTCAGGAGGAATAATTTCATGCCAACTATCCCTGGAATAATTTACATAATCGAAGCTACTATCGAAGCTTTTCGAGCCTGTGTTGATCTGTCTTGGATCTGTTCCACGAGTTGATATTTCTAATGACAGAAAATATTCCTGCATCAGGTGCACATCTGGAATAATTATCCTGAAACTATGTTCAAGGCCCCAGGAATAATTGCTAATTATTCCTAGGTATGTGGAGATAGGGGGGGGTCTAAGGTAGGGGCCATATAAGATGTTTAGCAGTCATCGTGCTTGCGCAAGTTCAAGGTCCGAGAGGATTACTATCAGTGTGGCAGAAGTTCTTTGCCATGGCGACTGGTCTTGAAAAGCGCCGAAGAGCAGGGACACCAGCAGCCAGCCTACCACACTATATACGTACGTACGTAAATCCAAGCACGCTGGTAGCTGCCCCTTTGAGGAGGGGAGGGGGAGGAAAGAAAGAGGAGAGAGAGAGAGAGAGGCTGAGAGGCCCCTTAAGAGTTGGAAAACCCACAGAATGAAGTCCATCGACGTGATCGAGTTGTCCCGCATCGACGCCGAAGTCAACGAATGAATGGCGGTCTCACAGATTCGTACAGTGGCTTGTCATGGTGATACAACCGGATCTGGCGTCACTTTGACCTTGAAGGTCTGGCGTTGGCCGATGAAACCTTGAATGGCTCGCCAGCTGAGCCGCTCTTCCTGGGCGTTGATGCAGGCTCGGCTGAAGGTAAGGAGAGATTTTGAAGTGCCAAAACCACAACCCACAGAATGTCAGAAAGCAGCCGTGCTAGAGCAAGAGATAGCATAGGCGGCTGGATGTGTTTTTGGCACGAATATTTTGTCATCGTGTGTGTCCTTGACATGTTTTCCTACAGCAGGACCCTTAGAGGGCGGAATTCGCGCTTTGGTGTGCGATGTTTTCCTTTGAATCAAGGCATCGAGCGAATGTCTTTACTCCGGCAGCTTCTGGATGTGGACGGCAAGTCAATGGCCGACGTTCGAGCACCGTGGCTGATGGCGGCGCCAGACCATGGGGCCTGTGGATTTACTGGATCGATCACAGCTAACTGCAATCCTCCAGACGAGTTCTGGCATTCAGAAATCTGGAGCGGGGATTTCATGAGTAACAAAATGCTGCCACAGCGTGACTATTTATCCTTAGAGCTGTGTTTCCAGGAAAGCAGGAAAGCGACAAATTATGGCCTTCAGCCACCACATAGGTAATTAGCATTGTTTGCTGCACATTTCTTCTGGACTTTTGGAAGTCCTCCCAAACAGTGGAGCACAACTGGCACAACTCACATTTGTGTAAACACGCTTTGGCATGGCAGGGGGCTTCGTGCTTCAGCTTTTGTTTTCATGTTCTGGCCATGCTTGCTTGAACGATGCAAAGGCCATCCTCGACGACACGGCAACGCTGCTTGGCGTCACATCAAGGGCTTTTATCCTCGTGTCCAAAATTGCGATTTGACTCCACAAGTTTGTTCCCTGCACCTTACGCGAATGCAGACTCGCAAAGCCAGACTGATTCACGAGAGAGTCTCCATGGTGTTCCTTTTCTTTGGACATGTGCACATTTGAGTTCCAAGAAGTCAAGTGCAATGACTTGAGACACCCACTGCAGTGAACCTGTATATGTGGCCTGTGACCTGTCCTTTTTCTTCCTTCACTTCTTCGAAGACGCTCGCCATGAGGTTCGGCTCTGCTATGGAGGATTTGCTGGCCAAAGTGGACCACATGAAACGTGCCTGGCGGGCCCAGTTGGCAGATTACCGACGGAATCCGACAGAGCTAGCTGCATGCAACTACCAGGTGCGAACGGGTGTTTACAGTGGAATGTGATTCGGGTCTTGGTATATTGTCATGTCGGCGCACGTTCTAGGGATTTTTTCTAGGGATTTATAGGTTAGGTGTTTCTGTCTTGCTTCACATGCAGGGCCAGCAACAAGCTTCCTGTTTTTTGGGCAGGCAAATCACCCAAAGCTGGGTGGTGGAGGGTCAACCCACTGGTTCCTGCTCTTCTTGAGGTCCTGACACTCGTGGGACAGCAGAAGTTAAAGGCCTTGGTGCACAGAGTTCTGGTCGCAGTCGCCCATCCCACATCCCGTGGGAAGTGCGATGCCCTTTGTCACTAGTAGCAAGAATGCTCCCAGTAGCGATGCCAGGAGCCCCTAGTTGTGTCCTTGATGCCCTTTGTTACTAGTAGAAGTGCCCTGAAGCACTTCCCAGATTCCAAGATTAGGTTGCAAGAAGCGTGCCACTGGTAGATGTTGCCAGAGAAGGATGCAAAAAAAACACATGAAGTACTGTATTTTTGATTGTGGAGTTGCATTTGTTTTTTTTCCAGAAGCACCACTGATAATGACAGAAGCGGTTGAAAGATCTTGAAAGCTTGTCCTTCCTGTCCTAGTTCTACCTCGCTGCAGTCGGAGGTGTGCGTTTCTGTAAAGGGGTGTTGTTCGACCTTGACTCAAGTGGGTTTAAAGCTAAAAGAATGGCCACCCCAACCTTTTGGAGAAGGTCAGGAGGTCGGTTGCTGCAAGTCTTTGCCAGTGATTTCAAGAGTGTCCAACCGGTGGCTATCCAGGAACACAGCTGCTACTTCTGCGCTCGGGCTGCAGGCTCGCTGACTTTGGAGGTACTTGGGTCCGAGTGGAAACGATGAGAAAGCATACTGGAACAGCCAAAAATGGGGTGCAGAAGGGTCGAGCAGCGTTTTTTCAGTGTGGGCTGGAAGAACATGGGCTGGAAACAGCACCTCGAAGGCAGCAATGCTACTGGAGAAGTTGGCCTCTTGAACGAACTGATGCTCGGCCTTTGTTTGGAGATCAGCTGGATGTGACCAATCGCACGCTTCCCCAACTGCAGCACATGCAAGCTATCCTTTTGATATATGTTGACGCCAGGATGTCAACACTATACTTTAGCTTTACTGCAGCCCCAAGCTGGGTCGAGCTTCTCAATGCTTGCCCCATCGGTGTCCATTTAACCAACTGATCCACCCTCCATTGCACATGTGGAGGTTATGCGAGACCTTGTTCTCTTTGCACAAGTGAAAGGTTTTCTCAACGTTTCCCAGCTACACCGCACCTTTGGAATCCAGGCTTGCAGACGGCGTTCCTCCAAATGTCCAGAAGCCACCCGTAGTCAAAACAGATTATAGAAATCCGGGGAATCAAGCAGGTGAGTTTCTATGAGGCTCTTTGCTCGTGCTTTTGGTGCGCCATGGATGACCGGTGACCCATCCACATGCGTCCGATCGTGTCCATCGTTTCCATCCAGATGGATGCGGAGACCAAGGCACCCAGACAGTCGGTGCACCCTTTTCCGCACGGCGGTCAGGCTTTTGGCGCTCCAGCGGTCCTCAGCAGATGCCATGCAATCGGTCCGGCAGACCACGCAGGTGCGACCAACAGGTTGCATAGCGATTTGAACACCAGGCACTTTGACGTGGCCAGTTGTTGGTGACTTCTTGAACCACTTGGTGTTCATAGTTTGCAAAATTGGAAGCGCTGGCTGCGGTAGGTTCGATCCGGTTATTGAACAGAGGGTGATGGAGCCGGGGGCAATTAAGAGCCAGATTGAAAGTTCTTGGTGGACGGAATGTGCAGTGCTTTGCGGTGCCCACCCTTCCTGATTTGGAACTTTGAGCTTTCAGTCAGACTGATCTGAATGTATTTGCATGATTTCTACATGCCTCAGCCCTTCATGTTGTCGCCCATCTTAGGCAACACTCACGGGGAGGCAGTTGGTAGAAGTGAGTGCTGCCGTGCAACGAGGAAATGCAGCCTTGCAGGCGGTGACTGGTGAATCCTGCTGACACTTGCAGTGCAGCGCATTGCTTTCAAGACCTTGCAAGTCACGTCCAATTGAAAAGAAAGTTGCCTTTGCTGTTTGGTGATTTCAGTACTTCAGGACAATAACAGCATTGTCCACTCATAGACTCCATAGACTCATAGACCCTTGTGAGCTGAAGGTTTGCAACAAGACCCAGGACTTTGTACTGCTCCTTCGCATGTCTTTGCATGGAACCCTCGAGTGTTCAATTATCTGGGTAACGTGCAAAGCCCGTGGATGCCTTCCACCTGCCACACTGGAAGGTCTTCAAGCAGAGTGCCGCTGGGAGCTTCGTTGGGCACTCGAGCAAGACTCACTCGCAACCTTGCATTTGTGTTGTGCAAGTGTTGCCGGCAACTTGCACGATATGGTATGAATTAGAATGCGATATTCCAAAGCCATAGTCTCAAAGTTTTAGGACACGAAACCCTTTGACGAACTTCTACGGACCAACAAGCCCACCACGTCGAAGCAAGCAGGCAAGCATGAAAAGTGTTACACTGGTGTTACACTGCTTTGGAGCCAAGAAGTCAAAGGGTGCTGAGGTCGAAATGTTCTTGTCATTTCGCGCAGATTTTCAAGCCTTGGAGGACGGCAGGCTACGAGCAGAGAATCAATAGTTTTAGATTATATCAATGTCACGGTTGCGCGAATTATGCTGCACCTGTTCGGAGAAGTCCTTAAGATTATTGTACTGTAATATTACTCAACTGTTTTGCAAATCTTCCTCCGGCCACCCGTTGCGTCGCATGGCAGCATGAGTATAGCACCACGGCTTCCAGGATGCCCGACATACAGCCTTCATGTCAATTTCGGGCCTCGCTTTGGTCATGGTGGTTGTCGTGCAGCGCTTAGCAATTGGGATGGGTCTGCACTTGATTGGCACCTCCTTGGCGTAGCAGATTGTTCATCGTAAATTATACCATCTACCTGCAGATCACTTTCGGTGCATTGAGATCAATCTCGGTGCTATCATCTACGCCCGGCGCTCCAAAGCCAAATACCCCTCCGCAACACCTTCCTGCGTCACTTGGCCCGGAGCCCTGGCAAAAAGACATTATCAAACAAACCAAAAGTTGAGTGATCAGAAGTCACACGGAGTCACTCAACCATTTTGCCTCTAGTTTCTTCAAGTTTTACGTTAGCAGATTCTTGAAGTATATAAAGCGTGTTGAGCAACACGTGGACCCTACAACTCACCGATTGAATATTTGAATCTCCATTTCAGCTAGCAAACGGCTTTCATCCGGAACCCAACGAAGGGTTGGCATGTCGTTGGATACTGAGCGGGCTGTGCAAACAGGATCAAACATGTCATCCTCCTCTCATGGAACCTGGATTCCTCGATGGACCTTGACCTAGGGGAACTCTCCGCACGAGGTTTTGTGGCTTTTGCGTCTTGAGCTTCGGTTTCCTTTTCGCCGGGGGTCTTTTATTGATGGCCTCTTGGCTTGGACGGCGTAGGATGGCGTGGTGGAACAAGGTTTGCCCAGAAAGGTACAAGAATCGCTAGATACCACTGGCTGGAAGGTCAAATCATGTCAAATCTGTGAACTTCGCATGTGCCCTGAACTCCAGGGAGCTTAGCGGGACTTATGAAGAATGGAAGTTGTGTTCGTGTTTGTGCGCAGCGCCGGCCTCCGTTGTGAAGACACGTTTGCGCCAGGCCGTTCCTGTAACCGAGCTTTGCAGCTTCTCCCGCTACGAGCTGCTCTCCTACAAGGGCATCGCTGATTACTACAGGCGAGAACTGGAACACGGCATCGCTTCAGTGCAGTTTTGAAAACGATGGGATGAGCAGGTGTGGGTCGTTGGACGATGCGGTCTTGGCTTGGATGTCCTTCCAGGGGTCTTTTTTGGGGGATTTTGGAACGCGCCGTTTCAGCAGGCAGATCGGGCTTTACAACCCACAAGATCCAGCCCTGCAGATGGTGCGGCATCTCAGTGTTCGGCGAACGAATGAATAGCCAGCACGTTGGTGAAACCATAGCATGACCAGGGAGGAAACAGTTTGCTGTCAGTGGCCTTAAGTGAGAAAGCGAGCACAATGAAGAATGGGGAAAAACAATGCCAGATAGTGCTAGATATAAGATCATTCATATATAAGTATTCTGATTCTTGATGTCAGGCGCATGCAGCCTTCATAAGCTGGGTTGATGATCTTCCGGCTCTTGGGTTGGTCAAGTCAAGTCGCATCAGGATAGCTTGTGGGCGTACTCAGTCAATGAACAAGAAAGTAACAGACAGCAGAATTGAAGACAATTAGTGAGCTTTTGGGGTAGGTTTTTAATAAATGGTAGATAGGAAGCCACCATGGGATTTCTTGGCCGGTTGCCAACATGTGGAGTTTCTCTCACTGGATTGTGATGACCAAGGACCCTTTGGCGGCAGATGTGCCTGAGCTCTTAGAACGGACTGACACGAAACACAGGGTTGGTCCTTGAACCTTTGTTTGGACAGTTCAGCAACCTGACGATTGTTTACTGTAAATCATTTAGGTCAACAAGAAATAGACCTGGTTTTGACCTCACCTTGCAGAGCTGAGAGGCAACCCGCGGGCAAAGCTCCAAAGGAAGCCCACCCAAAAGGAATGTGTGGCGTGTCGCCTACCGAGGTTCCGAACATGCTTCACAGGCAACGGCACAGGCGACTTGATGGAGGCAGGGCACAGGCAACGTGCTTTTTTGCCCGCTTGGCCCTTTGCCCGCCTAATATTTAAAAACCTTTAAGAATCTAGTAGAGACTACGACCTATTTAATTAAGTACGGGAGAAGCTCCTAGCCACAGGACACCAGATCGCTCACGTTTCTTCAAGGAAGCTCACCCCGCCCTCGGGCGGGGGGAGCTTCCTTGAAGCGGCTCTCACACTAATGATTTGGTTCCTAGATTTTTAGGAAAACTGACAACTGACATTAAAGTTTTCACTTGGGTTCAATGTCGTTGACGTTTGGAAGAACAGGAGCAGCACAGGCCCCTTTTTGCATGCGTTTATGCGGTCATCAGCTATATATGGTCCAAATCCCAGCTTTACGTGGTCCAAAATACAAACGTCTTTGCAAGAGTGAGTTTCAAGTGTCAACAGGATTTCTCCGTTGGAGCCCCCAGATTCCATGCAAAATACATGAGCACTAAACGCACCGCGGGGGCACCAAGAACACCCGCAAGCCGCGAACTGTTCGCATCAGAGCGAGTGCCGCATTCCCATGTGCTCCAGGCCGTGCAACTTCGGACACCCTTGAGCTTTCAAGAGGCCAGGCTGCAGGATGCAGGAAGGTGCTGGGGGTCAAGTCGCGCCCATGATGTAAGTGGGCTTAGCAACCTTAGAATCCTTAGAAAACATGCTTTGTGACGATTTGTTTTGCGCTGACATTCCACATCCATGTTTGAGGTTTGTTCCAGTGTTCATTGAAAGACTTTTTGATCCTTGCTGCCTCAGCTATCTTGGAGTTCACACCAAGACCGAATGCGTGGCATTTGTTGTGGAACGGATTAAGTTTCTCTTTGCGGCATTCATGCAGAATCATGCAGAGGATTGTTGCTAAGTTTGGAGCTGGAACTTGCTTTGCGAGCCAGTGCTTGCTTGTGCTATTTTGCCTGGTCACCGGGGGATGATGGATGTATTATGGTTGCTTGAATTGTCAAGCACACGCGGGGGGCCAGGCGGCGACCATGCCAATCGAAGATGCTTGGGATAGAAGCCACCAAACATATCCTAAAATTGTTTAATAAGGATGTGGCTGATGCACTTGACGGTCAAATGGTGTTCCTGATGGTCCCCCTCAAATGGGGACATTGGCCACGTCGAGCACCATTGCCCGAGGTTTTAGACACTGGCTTTGTGGAGCTGGAGGATCAGCAGGTCGGGGAGATCCGGCGTTCCATTCCACCAAACGATTACGACTGGATGATGATCCAAGGGTATTTCTATGTGAGTTTCTTGGGTGATCTACCCAATGGCAGCAACATGTGCACTGTTTCTAGTTAAGAGCCACTGTGCATGGGGGTAGGGGTACGGTGTTTAGAGTATGCAGTATTCTAGCAAAATAGTGTCAAAAGTGGTTCCGTTGCCGACACAGCACCCAGGATTTTTTTGTTGCTTGGTGCACCTTCTTGGATGCATGAGAGCGAGAAGACATGCACGGCAGCCAGTCAAGCCTGAGAGGCTGGAATGGTGGTGGACACTGCGAGATATGAGCTCTTGGTGACGCAGGTCCCGGATCGTGGTGCAATGCAATCATGCAAGTCTTATCACAGGGCATGGAAGAACTGAAGAAGGACCCAGGCAAATGAACCCGGAGATAGCAGAGTTACAAGGAACAGGACAATGAGGAACCTGGCAAAAACGAGATGGCAGCGAGTGATCATGCCAAAGTATCCAAAGTATACATATATATATATATATGTGATGTATGTTTTATCCAATTTGGGTGCACAACATGTTCACCAAAAGCTTTCAGCCTGAAGCCTTCCGAAGCAACAAACCAAGCGGTGCATGTCCTGTTTGCCGATTGAACATTGGATTCGGCCCGGTTCGGCCAGGCTCGTTTGTTCGGCGGGCTTTTCCTCCTGGATCCTGTCACGCCCTCAGGTATTGGCAGCTTTTGACCTCCCAAAACAACTGGCCAACTGGCCACCAATAGCATTTAGTCACATTTATATAGTCAGCGATTCCACCTGGCACATCCTATGCTGGGGACTTACCTTTAAATCGTCTCATCCCAACGTTTGCTTTCCACAGGAGGCGAAGGTTCATGTATGCACCGGAATTGAGGGATCCTTGATTCTCTCAATGTCTCTTTACGGAGTCTTGGTGGATTCCTCGACACGTAGGACCAGGCGTTGCCCTTGGACGCTGCGGCAGCGCCACGCTTCTTGGGCAGCTCTTTAGATCCCGATGACCAGGCGACGCTCCGTCGAGCGCGGTGCGGAGCATGAGCTCGTGAGCCACGAAGGAGCAAGGGACCGATTCAACATGTCCGATTCTACCAGATGGTAAGCTAGAGGAAACAAGTAAAGGACCCAGTCTATCAAAGCTCAAGTCCGAATCCAAATATACGCTCCAGGTGGGCCCTGATGGAGAGTCCCTGATCTACGGCCTCAATACGTGCCCATTTGCTCGTGATGGATTGTCCGCAACCAGAGCTGAAGTTGGCCCAAAATGAACCACAACCAACGTCGTTTAGACTGTGAATGACTGTGACATTTTTACTAGATGGCTGTGAGCCGGACACGGATAAACCAAGACTGATGGTGAAATGTTTGCCGGGCAACCGATTGCCGGTCAGTGGGTGTCCCTTTCCCTTTAGATTTGTTTGGGGGATTGGTGTCCCCACTAAGCAGTCACTAAGCACAAACAGGTAGAAAGGGTTTCAAGTCAGGGAGTCAGTTGCTCGAGGAGACTTAGGAACCAAGAAGATAGTCATTGTCATTGTCCATCCTTGCTCGATTGTTTAAAGCCAGGATTCATATTCTGTGCACTGTCAGGTACGCAGCGCAAGCAGCTCAGAGTTAGTGACAGTCAGATAGCCACATCTCAGTGGGCAGCTGTTGGTAGGACAGAACTAGAAATTTCTTCTGCTGTACTTCAGATCAGGTGCTAGAACTTTTCAGGAAAGTATCTTACCAGATCTTACCAGGAAAGACATGTAATTACCTACGACTGTATATAATATATAAGTAATAAGTAACTTATCTGATCGCAAACTCTACGTCGATCCCCGTAAGGCACACAGGCACTCGAGGCACCCAGTTCTGATCCTTCGAACGGTTTGCTGGGAGGTCCATTGCTGGAGCAGGACAGTGACTCGGCGGCCTAGCCGTGATGTGTTTGGAATATGTGACTTGAGGGGTGCCTTGATGCCTGTCTTGCAGAGCTCCCGTATCTAAGGGAGCTTAGCGACTTAGCTCCCTTTTGATATATATAAGCAGATGGTGCTGATTCTCAGAAGCTAGGGGACGGCTCAAGGCATCATGAGACATCCCTCCTGGAACCCCACATATACATACATATACTAGGAGCAAAGACGCTACTAGCTACTAGAAATGCTAGAATCTACGTCCTTGCTCCTAGTAATGCTCCTAGTAATAGTATATTTCTCTCAGGTATTCCTTCGAGCATGGCACCTCTGGCGGTGGCATCCTCATCACGGCCACGGAGCCCAACGAGCAACAGCTTGCTCAAGTAGCTCCACGCACCCGTAACGTGACGCGGCGGGCACTGGACGCGTGGAGCGGGGCAATGGCGCTGGAGTCGGGTCGCGGAGTTCATGTCGCGCCAAGCTGAGACGGATTCAGCAAATGGGTTGAAGTGTCTAAATGGATGTGTATCAAAATAGGGAGTTTCGCCCCTACCACCGGGTTTCAGATGGATTCAGCATGTTTCAGCCTAATCTTCAAACATCTTCGAACAGTTTCATTTACTGGACCCCCTAAGGACTATCACATCGTCGGCTAAGGCTATAGCCTATGCACGCCTGAAGGAGCAGATCCTCTCTGAAAGCACGGTGCTTCGCGTCTCGGATGCCTTAGAGCAGTTGCTAGAGCTCATGGCTCACACTTCGGGTCACCCACAAGTGGCAGTGGAACAGGACCGACTGCGCAAGCATGCTATTCATGCACTTCAGCAATTCTTGTTGCAAGAATTTGGTGATCGCAACGTTACAAAGAGTCCCACAGCCCAATGCCGCGAAAGGCCTTTGCAACAATTCAGCTCCATGACATACAGCGGCTCGGCATTTTTGTGCTGTGCAAACAAGGCTGTGACGTGATGGATGGCAACTATATTGTGACGGCTCGCAGCTCAGATTTGAGTGTGCTGCCAAGGGCAGGCAACCTTGATGCTCAATGGAAGCTATTTGAATTGATCACGTCATTTACCAGATTTGGTGAACAAGATTTAATAAGATTTAGCTGTTTTTTTAACAAAGCTGTTGAAGAAATGTTTGAGACAGCATGACACTTTGTTCTTTTTTTTCGACACCCCGCACCTTCAAACGGGGCACAACTGGTTATTGGCCCGAACCGTTGGATCAGGAGCGGAGGTGCAGCTACGAGGAGTTCAAGGTGGCGCCAACGTCTGCCACAAATGGGGAGGACTTCGCAAGATTTCGCTGGTAGATCACATGTTTTGACCCATGGGTATGGAGTTCATAGGGCAAGATAGGACTGGACTAAGAGAAAGGTTGCAGAGACCGAACGTGTCACAACAATAGAAAACTTGCAGGCTAGATACAGTTGTGAAACCAAGCCGGAGGTTGTGAGGGGTAGAAGCTCAATCTTGCCATCCTGCTGCAATGTATCGAGCCCCAAAGTTTATCAAACTTTGCTGTACACAATGTCTCCTGATGCACCCCACTTGGCACTCGCGAAAAGAACACCTAAAAAAATCTGGCGGTTCAGCTCCACAGTCCAAAAAGAAGATACTAGGGGCTCCTGGCCATACTACTAGGAGCAAGGACGCTACTAGGGGCTCCGTTGGGGGCCATTTGTCGACCAATGCCGACAATTTGCGGGTGGCGTTTGTTGTTTGCTTCATTTTGCTCGAGCTTCTCAGGCCCACGTAGTGGACATGGCAGAGCAAGTGACGCGGCCTGCAGTTAATGCTGCTACACCATTCCAAAGGCCAAATGAAACTCCAACTGTCTTGGCTGCGAGGATTTGGCTCAGGGGGCGGAAAAGCATTCCTGATAGGGTTTTGTCATGTCCACTCGCTGTCCCATTTGGCATGCTAGATGTTTAGGGGATCCAGGGGAGAAAAACAAAGGATCAGAGCGAAGGGCCCCTTCCATTTTCAGATTTCCCCTGTTCGGATGAAATCCACCCGTCCGCTTTTGTCGAAAACTAGATTAGCAGTGTGATGAAGTGTGGCTTGTCGAGGTGAAGGCTGCTGGCTTGCAGCTTGGGACGGAGGCGCACCTGTGCCCCAGAAAGATGGGCGTGGCAAATGTTTACTTTGCGCATGCATGCTGCACCCGATGGGGTCCCACTTGTATGTTATGGTCATGTCCGGATAGGCTGAAACGCATCACCACACTGATACTGTTGGGGTGCCGCAGGCGAACTCCGCCAAGCGGCTCCTCGTTGGTCCCCCAGGGTTGTCCAAAGATGTCGGCTGTGTTTGGACTCTCATGACTGTTGTTCAGCTGTTGTGTGCACAGCCTTGTTTTTGGGCCTTGCCTTTTTGAGATTGTGATGGGCACCCGGACACACACATATATGCACGTTCAGTTGCCCGTGCATCCTTGATCCCAAAAAGCTTTCGCAGCGTCATTGATGCTTGAGCTGCATAACTCGGAACTGCAAAATATTACGTATCTATAGAAGATCATAGAAGAACATCGAAAACTACAGTAAACCATTTGGCTGCATCCCAACCATTAGGCCCTCTTCAGGGCGTGATCCCAACCACTGGACCAGCTGAGCCACGCTGCTCCGAGGCCACCGACCTTCGAAGTGCCCTCCAGAACGTCCTCACAGAGATTCGAGATCTTAGGATTGGACCCAAGAGCCATAGAGCAAAATGTAGCAAGTTGACAGAAGAGCCACAAAGCGGCCCTCTTGACCTTGGAGCCACTGCATTGTCTTGAAGCATCACGTATATATATATATAGTAACAATAAGCTCTTTTGCAGTGGTCGATCAGCTCAGTGGCGCCGCCTTTCAGAATGCGTGAAGTTGATTTTGACACCAATGTAAGTACATCCAAGGTTGGTGGCTTGGTATATTGCCAAACGTTGATTTCCCTGGCAAAAACCTCGCAAACAACGCATGGCTCTTCAGAAAGATGAAGCACTGGAAAACATTCCAAAATTCAAGTGCATTCGCAAACAGTTCTGTAAGCAGGGCTTTGAACTTTAGAGATAGTTTGGGAAAGGTCTGGTCTATGTTCAGCTCCCTGTTTGGAAAAAATATACAGCAGCTGCAGCAGCACCCACACACAGTGACCTACCTACAGACAGTGCAGTGAGGTGTGCCTTTTTGTGTGCTATCTCTCTCACCAGCAACTGCAAGTACATGACCGATTTTCACACAGCTAGAGTGTTTGACATGTTGTATAATTATGTGGATCTTGTAAACTTGACTCACGTTTTGTGCTCCAAGTTCGCAATGGTATCAATTTACCCTCATGAAATCTCATGAATCACTTCCTAGGACTCTCTTGGGATGCCGCTTTCTTTGGCAGCGTTGGGTCAGAAACTCAGGACACCGGCAGCTTCGCCGACACAGAAGTAGTATCACTCCATGGGGGAGACTTAGTGATGGAGAAGTTGCACCACCCTGGTGACCTTCAAGTTCAGGTGTGTGTATTTAGGTCTATTTGCAGTGGCTTGACCATTCTAAGGGTGGTGCAGGAATTGTTTTGAATTTAAAGCTGCGAGATTTGCCAAGCCAAGGAAGATCTCGACTTCAAGCTTTGCAACGTTGCTTTGCCTGGTGCTATTGAGGCACAACTGAGGGGAGCTCAGTTGCAAATGGCCTGTCTCGTTGCGCAGGCAGCAATTGCCAGCTTGGTCTTGGCAGCGGCGTCATTGCTTCTGTGGCCGCCTTAAGCCGGCCAAATGCTCGATGCAAGGACTGGCCTTCCCTATTGTGGAGAACCACAAGCCATTGTAGTACATGCACCGCATTAACACAAGCCATTGTGGAAAGCACGCCCTCGCCCAGCTGAAGCATCAGCTGAACTTTCGAGCCCCTGTTTCCAAGCAACCAAATCAAAAATGGATGCGAGACCGCACAAAGGCCAACAGCAAACAAAAGGTGGGCTTGTGCACCTACGAGCTGAGCACGGTCCACTTGCCAAGCGCTCACACCAAGAAAATCGGGAACAGCTTCTCAGCTGACCCGCCGCAGTCAGGATTGGAAAACAGGCACGGGATTTCAAGTCACAAACGTGCCACAGTATGACTGCGGGCGCGCGCGCAGGCCATCACATTGGCACCCGCAGCTCTCCTCGCATGCACTTCAGGCAGTCTCCGCAGCACTGTAGGGTGCTCGAAAGCCACCATTGAAGACACTCTCGCTGCAACGTCTTCTCTCTTTGCCTTGCATGTACTTCATGTAGTCTCCAAAGCTTTGTAGGGTCACTCGAAATCCACCGGTACTTTCACTGCAACTGCTTGTCTATTTGCCCTGCATGTACTTCAGGCAGTCCCCGAAGCATCGCAGGGTCACTCGGAGGCCATCATTCCAGGCACTTTCACTGCAACTGCTTGCTTCTTTGCCCTGCATGCACTTCAGGTAGTCACCGAAGCTTCGTAGGGTCATTCGAAAGCCACCAGTCAAGGTACTTTTACTGCAAGTACTGGTTTCTTTGCCCTGCGTGTACTTCAGGTAGTCTCCGAAGCTTGTCTCTTTGCCCTGCATGTACTTCAGGTATTGTCCGAAGCGTTGTAGGGTAATTTTTCTCTGCTTGTTCTCCGCTCCTGACTGCCCTGCACGTGCCTTTGTTTAAGAAAGTGCAGAACCAGCATGGCAAAAGGCGTGGCATACAGGCCATTGGGGCACGCGAGCTGTTCTAATCTGCAGAGCAAGCACTCTCAAGCGCCCCCCGGGGAAACAAACAAATTGGAAAGTGTTAATTACCGCAAATCTTGACATCCTTGGACATCCTTGGGCCCACCCATCGCAGCGCCACCACCCCGCAAAAGAATGGATCGAGGTGGATGAGGACATTCCGAGCACTATTTGGGCTGGTCAACGCTGACGAATTATCCAAGAAGGAACAATGAATCTAGGTAAGGGTTGGTTGAGAATGGTGAATGCAGCAGCAAAGGCACTCTAAGCACCCTTAAACACTCCCAGGATTCGAATTCCCAGGTCAATATATTGTATATTTACATCCCCCGTGATATTCAGACTAGAAAATGAGAGGAGTTGACGTGTGTAGAAAACGGGCATTCTTTAGTCTCAAGGAGGTAAACTCACCGGGAAGATCCGGGAAGGGGTCAGGTATTGCATTTTCTAGTGACATGTAGGTCACTAGAAATGAGGATCACAGGTCTCATAGGCATGCTGGCAGGGTCATTTTCTAGACATCACCTTGTTTTCTTGACCCCACGTCATCCTCATGTTCTAGTGGGGTTCCTCATTTTCTAGCAAACATGATGAATCATGAGGAGTCAAGACAGAGTTTAAGTAAAACATAACAAAAACAAATACAAAATAGAAACAAAAATTTTATATCCTCAAGATCTAGAAAACATAGCTGCTGGTAAAGAATTCTTGACATGAGGAATCCTCATTTTCTAGTGGGTGCAAATTCTTGAGGAATGTCCTACATTCCTTGAAAATAACCCCACCCCTTTCTAGAAAATGAGAAACACAATTCACAGGCGTAGATATCTTCATTTTCTAGTGGGTGATAATTCTTGACGAATCTCCCACATGCTTTCAAAATAACCCTAACCCTTTCTAGAAAATGAGAAACACGACTCACACGCCTATCTATCCTCATTTTCTAGTGCTTTTTAATTATATAGGATCTACAACACAGGTGAATGAACGCCAACAAACACCAAGGACACAAATAGTGATATACAAACCATTTCGCATGTAAAAAATAGACTTAAATTATGCGAGAGTCCATTAGCTTCAGCTGGGTCACACGCCATGCAAAGCAACACTTGATTGGCACCTCTGGACTACACAATTTGGGCGCTTTGCGTCGTCTCCAAATAGAGAGAACCAGGCCAAGACAGATCTGGGCTGTGGGACCCGGCATGTGGTAGAGAACCACGCTTCCACACCTGGGAATAGGCATAAATCTTGAGATAAACACAGACAAACAAAGAATAACAATGATATAGAAACCAGATGAAACAAACATAAACAATGTCAAACAAATCCTAAAATTGTTACAACGAAAAACCGCCTAAACACATTGTCACGAAAGCTAGCCTTAGCTAGCTGGAGTTGCTCTTGCTTTAGCAAGTTAAGTGACGGGGTGGACGCACCTCAGAAACCTCAAATAATTGATTAAATCAATCTTATGGACCCCCCCCCCCCCCGCGGTTCGACTCCCCCCTGCGCGCGGTGAGCGGGACCACCAAGCAGCTGCAGCACACCAAGCATCTGCAGCGCCCAGCGCAGCAGCGGCAGCAGCAGCAGCACCAGCAGCAGCAGCAGACCACCCAGCGGCGGCAGCAGCAGCAGCAGCATACCCAACGCCGCGGCAGCAGCAGCCGCAGCAGACCACCCAGCGCCAGCAGCAGCAGCAGACGACCCGGCGCCTGCAGAGCACCCAGCGCAGCAGCGCCCAGCGCAGCAGCGGCAGCAGCAGCACCAGCAGCAGCAGCACCAGCAGCAGACCACCGGAAGCCCGGCTAGCTTTCGTTCACCCCCTCTGGCCTCAAGTATATAACTGTATAGACATCTTGTGATGTCTCGCGCTTAGACACACCAATTTCTCCGGACAGGGCAATGTGATCTCCAGCTCCTCTCATGCAAGCCTGGACTGCTCCATCCAACGTTCAAGTCGGCCTGCGCGGCCTTTGAAAGTTGTGGTTTCCTCCGTTTCCTGAGCGAACTGGGCAAGCAATCTGTCATCGTACCTTGATTTGCAATGTTGAAGGAACAAAGGATTTGCTAGACAATGACTAGCACAACCTCCTACACAGTACCCTGGCATTTTCTAGTGCAACAAATTAACAAATTAACAAGTTCAATGACATGATATGTAATGTATCCATTAGAAAATGCCAGGCATGACCTGCTACACCCTATCCCTCCATTTTCTAGTCGAAAAAAGCTGGAACAACCAAAAGATATTGAATCAAAGCCAGGCACTGACTCCAATTTTTAGCTTCCTTGAAGCCTTTCGCGCATTTGGCGTTCTTCACAAAGTCCCCGTCGCACCCGCCCCCCCTGCAAAAATAAACGCGCAAACACTGAGTCTACTGCATACTATTCCATTCCATACCACAAGCCCAACACTGAAAATGCTGCCAAAGCACGTGTTGCGAAGGAAAACGATGAGTTGCCACAGCTGCGACCATGTATCTCCCTTTTTGTCCCTGGGATGGTTTGGAAGTTGCTACAAGGTTATGAAAAGGAGAACGCCACAAAACGTAAAATGCTCAATGGGTCTCAAAGGTGATGACAAACGTAAAAAATAGACAAAAATGGCCTCAACATAAAACATATATATATATAACAAAAGAAGAAGATGCAAAAGTAACAAGTAATCAGAAGATTTCAAAACTATTCAAAACTATCAAACATATTCAGACATTGCAAGGTACAGTGCTTGCAGAAGACTTATTGGCAGGGAACATTCAGTCTCCAATGGCAGCTCCTTCATCCTGTCCAGACTTTTCACCGGCTCAGAGAAAGGATTCATAGGACTGTCCTTGCAAGAGCGCAAAAGTTCAAGCTTGTCATGGTCAGGCAGATTCACTATTGGATCTGTATCCTCAGGTGCCACAGGCACATCGTCGAATCCAGAAGTCTCCATCGGGATCTGTTTTTTTCTTCATGTGTTCGACAAGCGTGTGACCTGAATCCAGCAGCAGTTTTGCTGTCTTGCTGCTCCATCAAATCCTTTGCTGTAGCGCATGTTGGCACTGAGTCAAACAGATTGCTCTGGCAAGCTTGGACGTAGGCTTCTTTGAGCTCTGCTGGCTGCATGCCGTTGGCCCAAGAGACTAACCTCAATGCTGCCTCCAGCGCATTGCAGGAAGCAGTGTCAAACCTGGCTGTGCTGCAGACACTGCCCCAGCCAGAACTACTAGAAAATGAGAATCATTAGTGCTACAACCCAGGAACCTCATTTTCTAGCAACATAATTATGCAACAATGTGCAACATATCTCTTTTGGGCCCCAAGCCACAACTACTAGAAAATGAGAATCATCAATGATACAACCCAGGAACCTCATTTTCTAGCAACAAATTTATGCAACAATGTGCAACATATCTCTTTTGGGTCCCAAGCCACAACTACTAGAAAATGAGAATCATTAGCGATACAACCCAGGAACCTCATTTTCTAGCAACATAATTATGCAACAATGTGCAAAGAAGTAGCAGGAAAGCTTGAAGCATTCCGCGCACCATGGCCAGAGCGCAAGATTTCAAAAAGAGCTTGGAGCTCGATAGCAACAGCGTGAATCATGAAGCATCTGAGGCCCTCATAGAGGCAAACAAACATTACAATAGAATAGTATACAATTCTGTACACAACATATCTCGTCCATTCTGATCATGCCCCCCACAATCCCCCATCAATTCCCCACAGTTGTTTGCAGTTCAAGTCACCTTATCAGGGCAATCTTTGCTGATTGCAACCGAAGACTTCCAAGCTTGCATCTTCCTGGGCTGGCAGCATCTAATCAACACTAGAAAATGGCAAGCCTTCCTGGACACAACTGGACCTGGCATTTTCTAGAAACAAAAATTGAGACTTTTCTGCGCGTGATCATTTTCGCTGACAACTAGAATATGCCAAACAATGCCAAACATACCTGGACCAATCTGGAACCCTAATTTTCTAGTGGGACACGCCTGCAGCCTCCTACAAAGATAAGTTAAAACACTCTGCTAGAAAATGAACA